TTTCCTATCCTCTTAACAACGCTGATCTTTTTTTTATCCATCCCCACTGACTGCTATCCGTCCACACAAGCTCATTAGGTAGGTTACTCGGTTTTGTTGTCTCGTTTACCTTCATTAAGTCCTGTGAGTGTCAAATTCTCCAAGCCTTCATGATGCATCCCAGAAATTTCAACTGTGATTCTAAGTCATTTACGTTTTCCTGAAAACTTTCTTAATGTTCACATGAATACATGACTCTCTCGGCGGTATAGAACCACATCTCTGTTGCTCCAAGTCTCTTCTTCATCTGTGGGGAGATTGTCCAGCATTCATTGTCATATAGGAGGACTGATATTACATAGTAGTTCAGTACATCTTTTCTTCGCTTCTAAAGAAATGTTCTTGTTTCTTAATACTTTGCTTAACTTTTGGAAGGCATCTTTCACTATTTCAACTTCGGATTTCAGTGTCACATTTTCTGTGATCTGTTCAGACACTTCCCAGATATTAAAATTTCTACACTTGCTTGATTTTGGCATCTCCACTTCGTAACTCGCATTTTGGGCTGTTCTTCAAGCTGACAATTATATATTCTGTCTTCTTATGATTGATAGTCCTTTCTTCTTGATTTCATTTTCTATCTAAGAGTTCCTCTAGTTTTCTATGTCTGCCATCAACTCGATGTTATTTGCATATCATATGTTAAGTTAGGATCAAATGTAGATCAAATGTGGATTAGAATCCGACAGAATAAGACAAAGAACAAATCAGAAACATTTATCGATCTAACATGCTTCATTCTGAATTTAGTCTCTGATGAAACTTTAATAAAAGTGAAACATGTTAAATTGATAAAACTTTCCGATTTGTTCTTTATCTCATCATATCTTATGTTGTTTAGATTGTGTCTGCCAATAATAAATCCCGGTAGGACATCTAGTCCTCTTAGGATCATGCCGCTATAAAAATTGAATAAATCCAATGAGATGTATCAGTCTTACGCTCCTTTTGAAGACAAGCGACCAGCAACTCCCTCATTGCAGCAAAAAGGGATAGTCGTAGGTGAAATTGCTGAGCAATGTTGTGGCATTAGCCCATGTGCACGCGCCTGGACTTCCTACTTTAAACTGACCTTGTGCTATTTTTGCCACCAGTGGAGGGCGGGGGCTGTTAGTGAATAAGTGTAGTATCTGTTCTCATTTCTAATGGTAATATTGGCCGTTTCCTTATAAGGAAATATTCCACAATGCTGCTTTTTGTTGAAATTAATAAAATCTTTTTATGGGAGCAATTTTTCAAGAGAATAGGTTTCTCAAGTCCAGTAGGTGTTACCGCTCTTTCCAGTATTGGTGGGGTCCTTCTGTAGTGGAACACACCTATTCTATAGTTAATAGACTCTCCCACCTATAATAAGTAGGAGTAGTAGCAGTCGCTGAGTCGGTCAGTGAGTCGGTCTGAGTTCAGTCTGAAGTCGGACGACCGGCTGACCGGTTGAACTCTCTGCCTTCGGGCGGGGAGGAACCCGAACGACGCTACGCCGAAGGGCGGAGTCTCTTTCGGGGAGGTAAACTGACCCTGAACCCGTTTATACGGGTTTTAAAAGGGCATATTTTTGGCCGAGCTCACGGGCTCAGAGATCCCACGTTGAACCGGCCTTGTGCCACATGATGCTCTCGTGGGGGGGGGGCTGAATACTGCTCAGTGAGTTGGTCAGTCAGTCGATGTCGGACGACAGTTAGTCGGATATTAAAGTATCAGCCACCACAACAAGATTACTGCGTTATACCTATTATATCAAGTTCCTAACGTTTTGTACGTCGAACCATAAGGACAATAGTCTGCATGTAAATGGTGTAAATAATGATAAGTCCTTATCGCAGAAATTCAGACAGAAAATCTACAAGGTTTTTGAACATACATATATATATATATATATATATATATATATATATATATATTTTAGTTGGATAGATGTGAGTTTGTGACCCTGGGTTTCAGCTTTAGCGATCGTCAGACAAACTAATTACTGTTTTAAAAAATTGGGGTTTATGTAGATTGCGTGTATTGGTGTTATTGTGTTATTTTACCTATCATAATTTTACACAAACCCCACCACACATGTATACATACATGCGAGCAAATATTTTTCAACGGAAAAAAAAAAAAAAAAAAAATTTCATATGACATGGAGACAATAACGAGACATTTCCGCCACACTTCCAATGTTTAAACTTCAACATTTCAACATACAAATGCGTACTATAGACATAACACCACCCGTATACATACATGTGTCATAGCCGAAACTGTCTATGTTTATATATATGTATGAGTCCCGACGGACGACCAAGTATGTATATGTATATGTGTCTGCATACATCGATGTTTGCGTTAGTACGATGAATGACAAAACGACGAAATTTCCCCCACCACTTCCACAATAACACCAATACACGCAATCTACATAAACCCAAATTTTTTAAAACAGTAATCAGTTTGTCTGACGATCGCTAAAGTGTGAAACCCAGGGTCACAAAACTCACATCTATCCAACCAAATATGTTAGCTCTATCTCTGATATTGAGCGCTTTCTAATAAGTACCATACATATAATATATAAATAATTATACATATATATATATTTATTTATATTTATATTCACTTTTCACACACACATATATATATATATATATATATATATATATATATATATATATTACAGTGATGTTAACCCAGTACAAGGCCCGGGAGCTACTCGAGGTAGAGGGTTAGATAGCAAGAGGCACAATTTATGTGGATAGGTGGGGAAAGATAAAGATTAACTCAAGACTTGAACAGATTAAGATTGCTGTGATCGAGAAAGCATCCTCTTGGGAGTCAGTTCCACAAAGCAATGGTTCATGGGAAGAAGCTGCTTGATTGGAACTTACATCTCACCAATGGAATATGAAGGAGAATAAGGATAGTTTGCTACAATGCGTGTAGCTTGGCAGGTTCTAGCTGTGAAGATTAGAACTGGTGTAGCTAAGGAATATAGTTCATTTGAGCACTTTCCATGGAAACAGTGACTTTTGTCTATGGGAAAGGGCAAGGTAGAAAATAATTTGTCACCCACATGGACACTGATGCTTTTGGACTCTATTGAGACTGTAAAGTAACGGCTGAGTACCTCCTGCCCATATATAGCAGCATTATTCCATTTTAAGCTTGATCTGGTTCTTGTAAAGGTAGAGTATAGCATAAGGTGTCAGGTACTTACTGGAATGGTACAAGGAACTGATAATTTTGCCAGCATCTTTAGTAATGGATCATATATACAAGTTCCACTTGAGTTCTGGGTTTTTAAGCCCCAATAGGTGCTCAAGGCATGGTAAGGCCCTGAGGGAAAATCCATTCATTGTGATTGATGATAGTTCAGTCTCCAATTGGAAATAATGAAATAATGTAACTAGTTTAGTTTTATATACGTGCAACAATACATTTCAAAACATTTGAATGTGCAAATAGGGAAAAAAAAAAATTTACCCACTTCTAATGAACATTCAAAACCAGACAAAATATAAGTTTGAGAATATTTTAATAAAATAACAGACAGAAAACCTCAAAATTGAGATCCTCAAAAGTTTTGATAGAAAAAAAAATTAAGACTTTTACAGCGTCTGATTCAATCTCTCTGGTCAATTTGTTGACAAGTGGAAATTTAATATGGATGTTTAAACTTGGAATTGGTAAGCAATAAGAATATGGTCTGCAGAACTAAGATTAAATTCCAAAAGACCATTTAGGATTTTCTTTCTTCAATTCTTAAAAATGATATAAACATCAAAAAGAATTTTTTGGCATAATAATGAACTAATGCATGACATTCTTAGAGGAATGATGAAAAACTGTACAGCAAATGGTCATTTTTTGAGAATTGGTGCTTTTAATTCTATTATTAAAATAAAGAGATTAGTAACCTATAGATTTTTTTGACATCAGCAAATTATTTTCAGTGGGTTTTTTTAAACAAATGTACTAAAGTTCTGGAATTGGATGCAATCAGATGTCAAATGTCTGCAATTGGATGCAATCAGACATCAAACTTCTGGAATTGGATGCAATCAGATGTCAAATGTCTGCAATCAGACATCAAACTTCTGAAAATGAATGCAATCAGGTGTCAAATGTCTGCAATTGGATGCAATCAGATGTCAAATGTCTAGAATTGGATGCAATCAAATGTTCTTACAAAAAAAGATAAAATGCAATTTCCTTGATAGATTTGAGTATAGTTGCTTTCATAAAAAAATATTGCTATGTTGAACCACAAAAAGTTTTGGCTTAATAATCCAATGCCACCAAAACATTTCCTAAAGACTGACTATGACCATCAGGACGGGGAGTGGGGAGGTGGAAAATAATTCTTGAATCATGTACAGTACATGAAAAGGAAATAATTTGAATCATTTCTAATTATAGTTCAGTCAGTCAGCCAGGCAGTTAAGTGCTATACATGATCATGTCTCTTAGGCAATCATGTCTCTTTCCATTTATGGCTGACTAGGCAGAAGATTTTACCACACTAGGCTGCTGTTTCATTCTGTGATAGACTGGTTGCCACCCAAGCCAATAGGACCCAGTCTGTCCTGCTATTCAGCCCATAGCTGGGAGTGGAGAAGAGATGGATTCATACCTTTCCCAAGGGTGTTAGTGCATATGTGAATGTAATGAACCTGACTGGAATTCGACCTCGGTTCTCTGATTTCTCATTCCAAGCCATTATCCATTACACCATCCACACATCCCTAAATATAATTAGACAATCTAAATCCTTTGTCAAAAACAAAAAAAGAAAGAAAAGCACACTGAAGATTTTTTTTTTTTTTTCAATTCCAAAAAAAAAAAAACAGAATTCTAAAATTTTTTTTTTAATACAAAAATCTGTTAGGTAGTGACCTGAGCACAAGTATAGGTGGGGGTTACCGCATACTTTGAACCCACCCAAAAATTAAGCAAGTTGTTTCATTTCTCTGAAACGCCTAATTAAATTTTGTATTTGTTTTTGTTTTCCTTACTGAATGACCCACAACTGTCTCAGAAGAAAGCAGGCTGTTCTCGTGAGTCTTGTTTAGATCTTTTCTTTGTTCTCCTTTTGAGTAAAGATGACATGATATCCGAGAAATGTGAGTCGACACTGATCCGGCCGTAATTGCGCAGCACATACTTGCAACTGTTGGCGTTACTTCAGTGCCCATGTCCATCTGAGTGGATGGTGGTGGTTGACGAGATGCTAGTCACCACGACCTTTTCCAGGCCGAGGACCAGCACCACCACCGCCGCCGCCGCCACCACCACCCCACCACCCCCACCAGCACCTGCACCAACACCACTGCCACCACGGCCACCTCCACTGCCAGTATTGCTTCCACCACGCCCACCTCGACCACCAAAAGTACCTGTCAAGATTAAAAGAAGAAAAAATAAAAGACGTGGTGTTAATTGCTGCAATTAAAACTTTGAAGAGAAAAATGGTAAATATTTTTTACATTGGTTTACAAATTATATATATATATATATATATATATATATATATATATATATATAGTATTAATACAATATGGCAATCTGTATGGAATTTCCAGGAGTATATAGATCCAGAGAGAGTTCTATGTCAAAAGACAAAGACAAATTATTATTAATTAAAGAATATCAAACACTTAAAATCACATAGGTAATAATTTTTCTTTCATAAGAGCTCTAAAAAAGCAGCTCTCAATCTCAAGACTTACAAACAAATCCCAATGATGTGTGTGTGTGTGTGTGTGTTTAATATTCTTTAATTAATAATAATAATATATATATATATATATATTATTAATTAAAGAATATAATTATTTAATTAATAATAATTATATATATATATATATATATATATATTATTAATTAAAGAATATTAATTATTTAATTAATAATAATTATACACACACACACACATATATATATATATATATATATATATATATATATATATATATATATATATATATATATTATTAATTAAAGAATATTAAACACTTAAAATCCCATAGGTAATAATTTTTATTTCATGATAGCTCTAAAAAAGCACCTCTCAATCTTTTTGGAAATGTAAGGATAATTTTTTGTTTTGTTTTTTGCAAGTGAATACTGGATTAAGAATTTTTTGAGAATAACAATGATTTTTCCAGATACAAGTTCTACTCTTTAACCTATAGATAGGGGAGAAATTGGGTTCATGCCTTTCCAAAGGGTATTTGTGCTCAAGTGAATGTAATGGATCTGACTATAATTTGAACGTGTCTCTCCAATTTCCCATTCATAACTGCTAACCATTACATCACCCACACATCCCACTCCACATGGGGAGTCTAATGGCACTGAGGAGAAGGAAATTTTGCATCTCAATCTGCATGGATCTTTAGTCGGGAAATCTGAAATGGTGCCTATTTTACAATTGTGCAAGAACCTACTTTCAAAATCTTTTATGAACTTGCTACAGCTTTTATTTGACTCGAGTTATTGGATGACGGCTTAAAATTCTATGAGAAATTCTTGCCCAATGTAATTCAAGTTTATATCTTTTTTTTCTTTTTAATATATTACGAGGATAATTTTCCTTATTAAAAGATTTTATTGTCATGCCAATAAACATTTGTGCAGGAGAGAAAGTAAGTTTCATTATATAAGGAGGCAATAATGTCTAGCAACAGCACGAGAAAAAAAATCAAGTTGAAAACACCTGCAGAAAATTGTCCCATTGATATCTACCATTGACTAGAAAAATTTGTAAGTAGATATGTGTGAGTGGACGTCTTAATAGGAAATAATAGGGTGAAGTTTGGGAAGAAATATATGACAAAAATTAAGTCAACAAAACTAAAATATCCAACTTTGTGTTGAGTAGGTATGAATCGCTTGTTTGCCGATATTGTCTTTCCTTTTAGTATGAGTTTTATGGCAGGTTTTCGTGCCCGGAGGGGGGGGTCTTCTTCTTCCTCAGTCATACACTGTTTATGCCAGGCAGCTGTTACAATTACATTACGACCCTAAAAAGCGGGGGGAGGGGGGCATCTGACATGATGAAATACATTTAAGATTAGACAACAACAAATGGAGAAATCATTGACAGTTTAACTACAAATTCTATGAATACAAGTGTATATTTATTTATTTATTTATAAAAGCTAGTATATATGTATGTTATGTATGTGTACATACACATATATATATATATATATATATATATATATATATATATATATATAGAATACACACAGACATACATCAATGCTTGAATGTGTAAGGGTGTGTATACATAATTGCTAGTATGTATGATTAAACATATTAATGATAGTACATGAATTTCAGTGTGTATGCATATATACATACATGCTAGTATGTGCATGTTTCAGCATATGCACATATGTACACACATACTTGCCATTTTATGCGCATGTATATACACACACATAAATGCTAGTATGTTTGAGGGTGTGTGTTTATGTGAGTATACAATGCACACACATAGATACTAGTATATTGCATGTGTGCGTACTTATGCATAAATACTAATGTGTGTGTGTACACACAAATAAATGTTTCTGTATATACTGTATATATGAGTGTATATACTCATAAATGGTAGTATGTGTGCTTGTGGGTGTGTGTATATAGACATGCATAAATGTTAATATGTGTGCTTTCGAGTGTTTGTGCAAGTACACACATATATTCAAGTGTGTGTGCGTATATATATATATATATATATATATATATATATATATATATATATATATTATTTCACACAATGGGTTTTATTTCATTTCACATAAAACAAAATAAATAAAAGTAAATAAAAAAAACGTTTTTCTTAAATGCCGAAAACAGTCGGGCAAAAGTCATTCTTTAACCTACTTCAGTCTCTCTCGAAAAACGAAAGAAGTCAGTCATATTTAGCCACACACAGGTTGGCAGATCTTAATAGATGTAAAGAAACAGGAGTTTAGCTCGTTATTATAAAATTAGTTGTTACCATATCCTGGAAAATACTTATTAAACAAAAACGCCAAAACAAATTTTTTGTTCTATTCATTACATATATTAAAATAATTTTATTTTTTTATATTTATAGCAGAATATAGGTGTTTACTTACATATATTTAAAAAAAAAAAAAGATTATTTGGCCTTTCAATTCTTACAGAAAACTCATACGATTGACTATTGTAACTGTAAATTTTAAATTTAAAGTTACAAACAGGAGATAATTATTATTTGGTATTTAAATTATTGTAGAGAAATAATGAAATTGACCGTTGTAACTGTAAATTTTAAATTTAGCATAAATAAATGTGCGTTTATAAAGTAATAAAAGATTTTCTATGATCGATGCAATAATTCTTATGAAAAGTTCCAATGATTGATTGAATATATATATATATATATATATATATATATATATATATATATGTGTATATATGTATATATATATCCAATCTAATGAGAACAAAAATAATATAAATTGAAACCTTCACAGCATTAATTCAAAAGATGGCTCAATACCAAGAGTAGAGCAATAATTATTTATTATAGATTTTTACATGCGGACAAAAACAATTACTCACTACAAAGATGCATTCTTGTTTCGATGCATTATGTGCATCTTGACTGGTATGAATCAAAAATGGTTATGGGTAATTCTATTCAAAAACAAGCCACCTTCCTTAAAAACTATAGGGAGATATACCTTAAGAAGAAACAGAGAGGGGTAAAGAAGAAGGAGAAGAAAGGAAAGAAAAAAAAAAGTTACAGAATAAGATAGTAGTAATAGCTGATAGTGGAAGTGTCCACTAAAGTTTTGATACCATGCAATGGTCAGATATATATATATATATATATATATATATATATATATATATATATATATGTGTGTGTGTGTGTGTGTATATATATATATATATATATATATATATATATATATATATACACACACACTGAGTGTCAATAAAATAGTGCTCGATGTAATATAACAGAGCTATTAAGTATATATCAATAAATATACATTTTATCCTCACCAGTAGTACAACTAACTAATCTTCAGGTGCTGAATAGAGTCAAACTCTACTCATCACCTGAATTCTTTTTTCAACAAAAATCAAAGACTGGTGCAATTTTATAATTAACTAAATTCTCAGAAACCATTCTGCAAACACTGAAGAACCATTTTTTTAACACACCACAACCAAGAGACAAAGGAACTTAAACCAAAAAAATGATCTGAACCTGCCACATTAGCACCCAAGTTAACAGGTAATCTGATTGTATTTGTAACATCCCACGGAAATGAATATAGTGTGATAGCAGCTTAGAATGAGAAATCAAAGAGCCGAGTTCAAATTCCAGCCATGTTCATTATATTTCCACTTATACACAAATACCGTTGGGAAAGGTATGAATTCATCTATCTTTCTAGCTATGGGTTAAACAGTAAGATCTTGACAAAAAAATTCTTAATGAAACATTCACTTGAAAAAAAGAAAAAAAAAGAAAGAATTATTCAGCTTTAAAATAAATGTTTGAGAAGCCATAAAAAAACTAACCCAACGTCTTTTTCTTTGGTCAACAAGAAGAGACTTGGTGAGAATACCCAGAGAATCATTAGATTGGGTTGCTAAAAAGGGTAGAAATCTGTATTGCATATATTACTGGAAGCAATCAGAGACAATGGATATAACAGCCACCATTTCTCTTCTGTTCACCAAATTTTTGTTTCTGTTAAAGACAGACTCCACTTATTCCCTTAAGATTGGTGTGTCCGAAGAAGACTGTAGAATGGATCTGCTGGAATGGTGCGGCAACAACAAAGATAGCACAACAAGTTCATTAGTCTGAACAACTCTTGGCATGATGACACTTCTCAAAATTATACACTTGCCAGTCACTTTGGTAGGTATATTCATCTAGAACTAGGCTGGACCCCCACCCCACCCTTTTACAGCAAGGTTTATCCTGTACAAGGCCCAGGGATCACCTGAAGTAGAAGGTTACATTAAGAGGCAGTTTATATGGATAGGAGGGGAAAATGATGGTTAACCCTAGACTTGAACAAGTTAAGATTTTAGTGATTGGGAAAACATCCTCTTGGGAATTGGTTCCACAGAGCAGCGGTTCACAAGAAGAACTGGCAGAACTGAGGAATGTAGTTCGTCTGAACACTTTCCATGGAAGTAGCGATAGAGCAATGAAAGGCTTGCCACATTCCGCCTGTGAGAGAGTGTTTGGAAGGTGGAAAATTTGTTACCTACAAGGACTCAGAGACACTTCTGAACTCTATCAAGGCTGGAAAGTGTGGTCTATGCAGATCCTGGTCAAATATGACAACAGTACTCCATTCTTGGCCTGATATGGCTCTTGTAAAGA